TACAAACCAACGAACCACTGCATTTGCGCTTACACACTGACCCCTACCGGTCATTCGGTGTACTACAGGCATCTCAGACATTATTGCATTTCATCTACAAACCAACGAACCACTGCATTTGCGCCTACACACTGACCCCTATCGGTCATTCGGTGTACTACAGGCTTCTCAGATATTATTGCATTTCATGTACAAACCAACGAACCACTGCATTTTCACCTAGACACTGACCCCTATCGGTCATTCGGTGTACTACAGGCTTCTTAGACGTTTTTGCATTTCATGTTCAAACCAATTAACCACTGCATTTTAACCTACACACTGACCCCTACCAGTCATTCAGTGTACTACAGGCTTCTCAGATATTATTGCATTTCATGTACAAACCAACAAACCACTGCATTTTCACCTAGACACTGACCCCTATCGGTCATTCGGTGTACTATAGGCTTCTTAGAAGTTTTTTGCATTTCATGTACAAACCACTGCATTTTCACTGCATTTTCACTGCATTTTCACTGCATTTTCACTGCATTTTCACCAAGACACTGACCCCTACCAGTCATTTGGTGTAACTACAGGCATCTCAGACATTATTGCATTTCATGTACAAACCAACGAACCACTGCATTTGCGCCTACACACTGACCCCTACCAGTCATTCGGTGTACTACAGGCTTCTCAGACATTATTGCATTTCATGTACAAACCAACGAACCACGGCATTTTCGCCTACATGCTGACCCTTAACGGTCATTCAGTGTACTACAGGCTTCTCAGACTTTATTTCACTTCATAAGCAAACAAACTAACTACAGCATTTTCACTTTTATACTGACTCCTATCTGTCAAACGGTATACTACAGGCTTTTCAGACATATGGTTATTCCCCTCATAACATTCCCACTATAATTATAATTACACAATAACACTTCCTTATAAATCATGCTTACTATGATATCATTCCTGCATACCTGCCTTCATAGGCATTTAGTTACATTTACTGACAATACGCATACATTTACCCAAGAATACACATACTATTTAAAGCACTATGCAGTTTTCCAGAGTCTAATACGGAATATTTGCACGCTTAAAATATAAGTCCTTCCAATTATGTATTTTCACTTATTAGGTTATTCAGCTGCCAGTCATGGTTCACTACACTCATGTTTCGGGGTACAGTTGTGTTCCATATCACACATGATATAACACTCCCGACAAGTTAATTTCCTTCAAACAGGGGCATTACAAGCATACAATAAACATTGGGACAGAGCACTTTGCTCTATTAAACTTGCATAACACACATATGGATATACGCTTTTAAATGTCTATATTCGATTTTCATACATTGTTTTACCCGTCTGGGATACAGGTATTAATAACCTTTACGACCAGTAAGGGTATCTAATCATACTACCAGGTACATACACCTGCTCATGTGGTATATACATACATTTTCTGTTTCCCCCTGGGTATATCCTTAGCGTACTGGCAATTAGGGACTATAGGTTTCCAATAGATATTTTCCTTTCTTGGCATCTACGCCTGTCGTATAGTGGTCCCGCGAGGCCAACACCCCGCCTCAACGCTCGGAGGCAAACACCCATCGGGCCACTCGTGAGCTAGCCGCCTCGCATGGTATATAGAGAGGGCCTCACCTGTCACTCCCTTCCCCTTTTTTATGGTTACAGTCACCGAGAGGCCAACATCCTGCCACTACGTTTGGTGGCCACAAAAATCCCCTCGCGCCATTGCATAGATAGAGCCTCTCAAGCCACTTGGCAACTAGCAGGGCCTCACCTGTCACCAAACAAAGGATTAATTGTTTCGCCTTGCGGCTTTAGCTAGCAAGCCAGTACTAGCACACTGTGGGTTCATATAATAATGGCTATCTTCATATTTTTTAGTATGTATCAAGCAGGTGGTAAGGATTTCTCTCTACCTAACACTCCAGCTAGAGTCAACACACTTTCACTTGGAGATGTTGCTAGTCCCACAGGACAATTTTGTCCCAACACAGCGGACGATCACGTTTGAGGCTCCAGGCTCTAGCACCTCTGGTAGGACGTAGCGAACTACCCGAGATAAATTGGGTCGTCTCATTCTCTTTGGCAAATCCCATATTTGCAACAATTTCCATGTTGGCACATGTAGTTTCAGTGCATGCAGACTGTTGCAGATATGTTCCCAATATGTCAGGGCACATGCAAAAACCATGTGTCCCAATAAATGTACCCTGAACCTTACTTCTCGTCTGTAAACATTATGCATTTCCAGTACTTTCTAACTTATCACCCTTCCAGACATTTAGTTTATTTCCTAATCTCCGATTTTAAAGGCCTTCTGTTCAGGTATTGCCATATACTTTTGGGGAAATCTAGAATGCCCTAACTTGCAGTCATCACAGCAGCATCCAACAGCTGGCATTACACTCATGGCCCAAGAAATGGCAGAAATATTTCTACCTGGGCCTCTCCGATCTACACTATTTACAGTGTGGCGCAATCCCATTGTAACTGATCATAGACTTATCTGCACCTCACGCCTCGGCTACCCCATAATCTCAACTCCCTCATACTCTCCGAGGAGTTTTCATTACAGTATGCCACCATTGTTCATACCATGACAACTCACTCAAGCAGGGAGGGGAAGTCTGGTTAAGTAAAACTGATATCACAAACGCATTTCAGACTTCCACCATCCACCCTGCACTGGCACTTACAGGGCATTTATGGGCAGCAGTTATATATTTCTTATCCCGCTTAACTTTCGGGTCAAGAGCAGCCCACAATCTTCAATATATTCGTTGAACTCTTTACTGGTTGTGGTTAAACATATCCAGATGCCCCACAGTCATACACTCCCGAGATGATTTCTTGTTGGTCAAAGGGAATGCCTTTCCCTCTAGAAGCTTCAAGGAAGCCATTAGTATGTCTGAACACTTGGGTGTCCCAGTATTCCCTAAGGTCACAGAAGACCCAGACACTGTCGTTACATTCCTGGGCATACAACTTGACTCGGCATCCATACCAACAAGTTACCACGCGAGAAATAGGAACAGTCGCAACAACACCAATTACCACCTCCTGCTTGGTACTTGCAACCACATGGAACTACAATCCCTACCAGGTTCCTTAAATTTTGCCATGCACATCGTACCGCAGGCCACGCTTTCATCTCAGACCACTTTGCTTTTTCCTCCCTCCCGAATGATGATCAGGGGCTGTCCCTAGACAACCAAGCCATGGCAGACCTACACATATGGTGGACTTTCTTAACCACACGTAATGGTAAATTATTGTGGCAGCTGCCGTGACAGCCGCCATGGCAGGGGGTCATTTATGGTCAAGGTCATGGATTACATGAACCTCGCCAACATAGCCGGGCTCTGACTAAACTGGCCTTGTCCACCAGCACTCAACACGCTTGCTACAGGGTTTTCCACTTATACAATACGTTTCATGTCGGACCATCACTTAGATAGCTGGTTTGAGGTTTCACCACGTATGTCCTTCGCCTCTTTTTTGCCACCTTAAGTTAATAATTCTCGCACAACACGGTTAAACTTTATCTCACGGGCATTCAACCCTATACGTATTTCTCCATCCCAAACAACAAGGCTTCCTATCCTCCTACCCCATACATGCCTTACTTAGAGACATGGCCAAGCGGACGTTCCCGCTAAAACTAAATACTGGCCATAGACATACAATGTTCAAACCATGACAGAACCACTCGACCATGCACTTCCGAGCCACGCACCAATGCAGTTATCAAAACTGCTACCTATCTAGCCTTTAACGGCTTTCTCAGGCCAAAACAATAACTCACTATCAGCGGCCAACATCATAAACAAGAGTACCTGGTGACCTCTTATCCTCTAAAACACACAGACCACTATGTCCGGTCCCTTCCTAAAACTAAGATGAGTCAGAGGGGCGAGCCAGTGCATATAACCTACTACCTTACAAGCAATGCTGGGTGCCCGGTTAAGGTACTGATTACGTTCTTGGGCACGCCACCATACGCACCACTGAACCATTACTGTCGCTGTACGATACTGTCCTTACCACAGGTAAGTTCATGCACTATGTCCACCTACTCATTCATCGTGCTCGAACTAAACCCTAGCGACTACTCAGGGCACTCCTTTTGGATAGGAGCAGCTTACACAGCCCATAGCCAAGACATCCCCGCACACGTTAAGACACGGGGCCGCTGGGAATCATAGGCTTATGCGATGTACATACCACAGCCGATTCAGGAATTAGGACGCTTTCATTAAAATGTCTAACTGATGGTTAACAAATGCACTATGATCCTGTATAATGTTTTGCATTAATATTTCTCTTTTTGCCCACTTTTTACCGGCCTACAGCATACGTCGGTTTCGGCACACCTCAACCGATTATTCCTAAAGCTACATCTCTACAACCCATCTTATTCTATATCATATGAGAATGCCCCGAACACAAATTGGAAGGCATGGCCTGAAGTTGTGGGAGGGGCTATAGACCTATAAAAGGGACTCCCCCCTCTCCCTACTTACCTTTGTTGGTCAGACGAATAGCCCCACCCTCCACTCCCATTGTTCATATTTCCTCTATGTAAGCCCACTTTTTACCGGCTTACAGCATACGTCGGTTTCGGCACACCTCAACCGATTATTCCTAAAGCTACATCTCTACAACCCATCTTATTCTATATCATATGAGAATGCCCCGAACACAAATATATATATATATATATATATATATATGAGAGAGATAGATAGTTTGGAAGTATTGTGTGAGAGAGGGTGTCTGTCTGTGTGTTTATATGTGTGTGTATGTATGTGTTTGTATGTGTGTGTGTCTGCATGTGTGGGGAAGCAATGTATGGGGGGGGCCAGGGCAATTTTCGCACACCAAGGCCGTGGTGGCTTTGGATTGGCGCACTGGCCTCCCAGGTTGATTATCTCAGTCGAGGAGACAGGGCAGCCGCAGTGAGACCATCACACTCAAGATATAAGTTAAGTAAAGCTTACGTTTTAAACCTTTATGGGGAGCACCAAAAAAAAATAGGGCAACACTATAGCATTGTACTCCTAACGCTTCAGTTAAAAGCCGCTGACGGCAGCTTAATTTAAGAAAATGGATAAGATGTATGAAACAGGCTATTCAAGTTAAACTTGGCTGTGAGAACCCTTGTTGCAGCAAAACTTTCACACCAAATCAATTTAGAAAATCTAATTACCGGGGCACTAGTGCAAAAAAATCCAATCCAAAATAATTAAACCAACCCGAAATAATTAAAGAACAAGACATTCCTTTCATTTTTGCAAATAGCTACAGATTAGATCATCAGCCTTTAGTTTTACTCACTCCAAGAAGCAACTAGAAGCAGAGGCCTCTCAATCTGTCTGAGTCTGAACGGTTGGACGTGTTTAATTCAGTGTAGGCACAATCCATTTGCTCGGAGACTTGCAATTATGAATTCTCAGAATGTTTTTCTATATGAAGATCAACTCTCTGTTTAAAGGAAAAGAATGAAAATATATGTGTTTGTGTGTGTGTGTATGTTTTGCTTCTAATGAATGAGGAGAATTTGAAAAGAGAAATTTCACTTCGTCTCACTAACCAGTCATTCATTAAGCATTTGTAGCAGAAAGAAAGCTAGTGACACATGGCTGATTTGTAGAAAATGGCAAACACACACATAACACCAGTGAGGGATTGTCAATGAGATATTGGGTGTGAAAGAAAGGGACAAGCTAAGATACTTTGGCAGGGAAACTTAATTCTTAAAAAATAAACACACAACATGATACAGTATCATTATTGGCATATATATAGTGCCAACTTATTCCACAGCAGTTTAAAATATTATAAAGGGGTAATTGAACAGTAAATGAGACAATTACATGATACAAAAGACTTCCTGATGTGAAATGCATTGGGCGTATCTGATTTTCTGTAGACTGCCGTACTGAAAGAGTTTATCTAATACTTTTTCAAAGGTGTATTTTTGTATTTACACTAAATATATGCACTTTTGTATACACAGTATAAATTAATTTATATATAACTAGTGGTGCAGCGGTTCTCAAAAGACAACACTATAAACACAAAAAGGAAGCAGTGGTTACGAATCTGGATATTTTCCTGATACACACAATACAACATCCATAATGTTAAACTCACATTCAGATGGCTACTCTTGGGAGGATTCTTCAAGAACTGATCCCATATTGAATGAAAATCTGATATACTGAGTAATATACCTTTTTATGTGCACTTTCCAGTACATTGTCCACAGTTCTACAACTGGTGTGTTGCATATATGGCTATACACGTATGTAGCAATTCCAATTTAGTGCATGATTGTATAGATTCCAGTACTGTCCACACATACACGCATATTGCTAGCTAGCCAATACATTTCAATAAATTCCACATAACATTTTACTTTTATCCTGTCATTATTCCGTATATTTCCTTTTCAACACTGATGGGCCATTACAATTGCATATATAACATAATCCAGATTATGTATGAGAGGTAATAACTATACAGTTGTGGACTGCTACTTAGAAAAAGTCAGTTTTTCAGGTATCTTGCCTGTTCTGAGAGATTAAAACAATTATAAATAATAGCACAAATGCCTTCTACAGCACCATACATAATTTAGTGCCCTCCTTTTCTGAGATCAGTACATAATCCCTAAAACCAATAACTGGCCAAATGTTGACTGTACAATCTAATGCATACTCTTTTAATATTTCAATATCAAACCTTAAGATCCTAAAACCGTGGGGGATATTTATCAGAGTGTTATGAAAAGTATCTGTTATGATCTAAAAATATGACAGCTTTTGTCATAGTAAAATACACAACTTTTTGTGCACATTTCCATTTGATTTAGTGGCGGAAAAAAGTGAACCAGAACATTTTTTTTGTCTGCAAAAGTGGCTAAAATAATGATAAACTAACCAAACAAATGCCATATGTCAAAAATGACAGAGTGAAAAATAAGCAATAAATGGAAAAAAGGCAACAGCTCACAAAAAATTGTTCACTGTGGTAGAATTGCCTTCTCTAGTATAATGGTATCCCAGATGACAGTGGAAATAATCCAAGAAGGGTGTTTTGCATTTGAACAATTGATTACCAAGATAATGCCATGTACATAATTTGTATCCATGTTAAAACAGATAAAAACCACAATCGAAAAGCATTTTTAAGAATATATATAATTGTTAATGATTTTAAACTAGAGCATGTGTATGTGTGTGTATGAGGATAATGTGTGTATGAGGGTGATGTGTGTATGAGGGTGATGTGTGTATGAGGGTGATGTGTGGGTGGTGTGTGTGTGTGTGTGTGGGTGATGTGTGGGTGATGTGTGTGTGTGTGGGTGATGTGTGTGTGTGGGTGATGTGTGTGTGTGTGTGGGTGATGTGTGTGTGTGGGTGATGTGTGTGTGGGTGTGTGTGGGTGTGGGTGTGAGGGTGATGGGTGTGTGTGTGTGAGGGAGATGTGTGTGAGGGAGATGTGTGTGAGGGAGATGTGTGTGAGGGAGATGTGTGTGAGGGAGATGTGTGTGAGGGAGATGTGTGTGAGGGAGATGTGTGTGTGGGTGATGTGTGTGTGTGTGTGTGTGGGTGATGGGTGTGTGTGTGTGTGTGGGTGATGGGTGTGTGTGTGTGATGGGTGTGTGTGTGTGTGAGGGTGATGGGTGTGTGTGTGTGTGAGGGTGATGGGTGTGTGTGTGTGTGTGTGTGGGTGATGTGTGTGTGAGGGTGGTGTGTGTGTGTGTGTGTGGGTGAGGGTGATGGGAGGGTGATTGTGGATGTGTGGGTGATGTGTGGGTGATGTGTGGGTGTGAGGGTGATGTGTGGGTGATGTGTGGGTGTGAGGGTGATGTGTGTGTGTGTGTGTGTGTGTGTGTGTGTGAGTGTGGTAGAAGCTACAGGAAAAGTTCAGTACTCACATGGTTAAAACTACTGTGCAACTATCTTGAACCAGGGCACATGTGTGGAATGTCAGGAACGTCCACTATTAGATAACATATGTAAAAGATAAGTTTTAGTTTACTAATTTGATGTCACTATTGTAATGTGGGTGTAAATTTTTGTATTTATTGTATACGTATGGAATACGTCATTTGTGGTATATATTCTTGGTTCTCTTGTAAATGTTTGCTCAGTCGGGTATTCCAAGACTTGACATTTGCAGCTGCAAAACCATAAACAGCCTTTGTTCTTCAACGACCTGTGTTTGGAGTGTCCTTGCATAATGTCAGGGTGATGCGTGTGAGGGTGCTGTGTGCGAGGCATAATATCCTCCCTCCCTTCTTACCTTTAGTCTGGGAAGGGGGACTGTGCTGCCATCCATGGTGGTGCTAGCCTGTACTGTCTCACACATCTTCAAAGATCCACCTGTCATTTTCAAGAGTATGATCATATGTGATGGCTGGATAAGTAATACTGATCACTATAATTAATAATCATTAATAATCATTAAAATGACATTAGCACTAAATAACTGTCCTGGATTTCTGATAAAGAGTATATGCCACACTTCTTTGATACACTCTCAACTGTTAAAGGACCACTATAGTGCCAGGAAAACATACTCATTTTCCTGGCACTATAGTGCCCTGAGGGTGCCCCCACCCTCAGGGACCCCCTCCCGCCCGGCTCTGGGGAGAGGAAAGGGGTAAAACTTACCTTTTTTCCAGCGCTGGGCGGGGAGCTCTCCTCCTCCTCTCTGTCTCCAATCCTCCCATTCGGCTGAATGCGCACACGTGGCAAGAGCTGCGCGCATTCAGCCAGTTCATAGGAAAGCATTCATAATGCTTTCCTATGGATGCTTGCGTGTTCTCACTGTGATTTTCATAGTGAGAATCACGCAGGCGCCTCTAGCGGCTGTCAATGAGACAGCCGCTAGAGGATTTGGAGGATGGATTAACCCATTTATAAACATAGCAGTTTCTCTGAACCTGCTATGTTTATAAAAAAAAAAAATGGGTTAATCCTAGAGGGACCTGGCACCCAGACCACTTCATTAAGCTGAAGTGGTCTGGGTGCCTAGAGTGGTCCTTTAAGGCACCCATATCAGTGTAACTACATCCATGAAGAGTAATGTGGTTGAATAAACTTTTTCCTTTCACTGGTCTTCACATTGTGAACCATTAAGCTTTCTATCACATGTTCAGGACAAGTCCATCCCCGTAAAATCGTCAGGCTATTGATTTGAAAGGGAAATTGAGTCCTATGAACATTCTAAAGATGCTAGTGACAGAGTAATATTAAAAGATTGACTAGAAAAATAAAAAATACCATGCTTCAAGACAAACCGTTCCTCTCTCTATTGGCAGCAGTGTCATGCTGTGAGGATACTGGATATATTCATCAAACTAAATACAAGAAATACGCTACAAAAATTTCAATTGGAAGACATTAACCTCTAAGCAAAATTAAGTAGAAAGTCTAGCTCCAATTAGGAGAAACGTGTGGGCACGTTCAACACAATAAAAAATATTGGTAAGCACAAAGCTATAGCAACATTGGTGTAGCTTAAGAATGAGCTAGGCAATGTCTTACAGTGTGAAAATTAGATTGGGATCGTCTTCCCATTGAGAATCTTCTTGACTTAAACACTGCTGTCCAATGGCAACATCCAAGCAAGCTAAAATACATGGAGCAAGTCTGCCAAGAGAAATGGGACCAAGATTCAGGTGCAGAACAACCAGTGGTGCAGCTGCTGTGACTGAACCAGGGCCCCAGCGGTTCATGGGGCCTGCAAAGAGCCTTTCGCCCTTGCAGGCACCACCAGTAGTTTCCACAAAATAAAAGGAGGCATGGATACAGGGAGACTCACCGAGCCATGGGGTACACACCACAGGAGGGAGAGCTACACCTGAACACATCTCTGCATTCATACACTAACAATACAAAAAATACACACCACTGCACATAATCACACCCATTCACACAAATACTGACACTACAAACACACCCTTGCATTCAGAAATCAACACTGCACACAAATACATCCCTGCGTTAAATCATCAGTACAATATACAGACATACTCAATGCAAAAATACGCTTACAGTCACACACAAACACTGCACACAAATGCAGCCGTGCAAGGATGTGCAAATGCTAGATCCACAGTTGTCAATTATTTGTGGAAGATGTATGGCCACCCCTGCTCTTTATGGGGTGAGAACAAACATTTTGTTTTTGCACCAGGGTCCTTGCTTTATTAGTTTCAGCACTGCCAAGATTCTTCCAACAAAGTTTATAAATAAATAACTAAAAAATATTTTTATTCAGAAAGGTGTATCTACTCATTATTAACAAGTGAGGGAGATTATGTATGCCGGTGACACATTAAAGTTACATTTCAAGCACCAACGCAGCTTTAATGCATTTCATGGGTTTTGGCTTCATTAATAGGCTGTATTTTTTTTCATAAATAAATCTTTATAGCGTTTTAACCAAAAAAAAGCCCTTTATTGGTTAATATTGAGCAAGATAATACAAAATATATGCACAGGTTGCGCCAAAATAAAAAGTCCAATAGAATATCAGATGCTTGGAGTATTCTTCACTTGTTAATCGTCCAGTCTTCTGATGGTGGCAGGTATATGTAATAAAGAAGAAAGATAACCAGTAATGGTGCAGAGTATCTAGTACCAAGTGCACAACAAATAACAAAGAGGTCTATGATTCACCACTCACATTTAGTAGATCTATAGAACCAGCTTTGAGTAAGTATTACAGGTAGTAGGTAGGCAATGGTGGTATAGAGGTGCCAGGAACAGTAAAAGATATAAAAAGAACTAACACAAACACAAAAAAAACTTAAAAGCATAAAAAATACAATAAATGGTCAGACACGTAAATTAGGTGAATACCAAATATCTATAATGCTTAAAATAACACAATGCATTTCGTCTACTAAGGACTTTCTCAAATGTCTTTCTTATCTTTATCCAAGGAGGGGGACACACTGCCAGCCAAGGTGGCCTGGTGATGAGTGGTGCTCTTTAGCCAAATCTAGGTGCCCTATACAGAAACAAATCCTGTCTGAGTCCTATAGTAGGGAAACAGATCGTGCAACAATTGCTAATGCCATTCATTGATTATGGGGATGTAGTGTATGCACCTGCATTGCAAACCCACCTTCATGAACTCAACACGTTATATAACTCATTCTGTCGCTTTGTACTAGAATGTAATTACTTTAGCTCTTTTAACATTATGACATGTTAAAAGAGCTAAACTGGCTATCGCTGGAATCCCGATGCACACTTCATATTTCCAGCCTTGTGCATAAGAGCTTTTCTGGGAAGCTCCCGCCCTACCTGAGTAGAATGCTCTCCCCGGCTGATCCCACCTCCTGTAACCTCAGATCCAGTACTAGCACGATATTTAGCATACCGCAATACAAAAATCAGTTAATTTGATC